GACTTCAAGCTTCTCGACAGGACGCCCTGGCACGTCGGCGTCATCTCAAGAGACGGTCTTCCAGCAGCAAAAAGTGGATGACGAGAAGACACGCTTCCTCAACGAACTGAGACAATCCCTCACCAGCCTTTTGCTTTCTGACCTCGGCAACCAAGTTTTCTCACGAGGTTCTGAGACCGATGGCTGGTTCGACCAGTTGGGACAGCAGTGCATTGATCGTAAAGATGCTTTGGATCGTCGAGCTCGACGTCGATCCGAAATCAAGGAGAAGCGAAGCTCGGGACGCCCACGAGTTATTGAGAAGAAGAAGAGCTTTGGCAATCTACGAGGCGCCGGTGATGACCGAGCTTCAGAAACCTCTGAATCTCTCCCTCTGGGCTCTACTGAGGAATCAAGCACCAGCAACTCGACACCACGCCTGTCGGTGGCGAAGGAAGACAAAGACAAGACAGAGTTCCCTTTCAAGAAGGCATATCAGCGACTGCTGAACATGTTTTGCGTACACCCCAACCCTTACGCGAAACTAAATGCTCTGCATGAACTTGAGAATCTTATTGTAGCTGCGCTGCAATCAAGTGGGCAGAAGAGGCCACGATGGAATCGATCTGATGCTGGGTCAAGCGTGGTGACGGAGCACAATACCAATGCCCGCCCTACACCATTGGAAGGGACAATCGACAACGTCAGAGAACGTCGATCACAAGCACAACAGTCTCAACTTCAGACGCCCTTCTTTGGTCCTCGACAGGCCAATTCTGAGACGAGGTCAATAATGTCGGGAGGAAACGTCAATACCGACATCATCACCAAAGAGCTGCAAGCTCTCTTCCGAGAAGCATCAATTCGGCCAAAGACACTGTTCCGTGATTTGCAGTTCATCGCATCTTTTGTCCCACCCTCGGTGCTGGACAAACAGGAACGCGGCAAAGCATTCTGGAACACTGCGCTGGCTGCTCTCAAACTCAAGTCAGAAGTCTGTCGAACAATGGTTGAGATGGCAGATGAAGTAGTTGCAGCACACACACATGTGCGCAAGCCAAACGACAACACGATACCAGACGTGCCACAGTCTACAACAGGCACACCACCACCGCCATCCACGACATACAAATTGGATGACGCGGGTAAGATGTGGACAATCACGGCCAAGGAAGGATTCCCAACAGCACAGCGCGAGCTTGCGTTGTTCTACCTTTCGAACCCGGAATACGTTGAGCGGACAACGCTCCCTCTTTCAAAGCCTCGCGAGGTGTTTAAGCAGACGGTCATGGACAAATATGGACGTCTCGGCAACGGAGGAGGCCGCACCGGGTTTTCAAGCGGAGGCGAAGGCAAGGAGAGCGATGTGAGAAGTGACCCAGGACTGATGTGTGTCGCGGTTCACTGGATGGAAGCGGCTGAGCATGGAGGCGACGAGCTGGCGACGAGCTTCCTGCGACAGAATGAGTTTATGGGTGGTCGCTGAGTTGCTTGCTGGTGCTGAATATTATACCCCCCGTGTTTTTATGTTTGGCGCTTGGGCGTCTATAAGATTTATATGGATGCTTTATAGAGGGCAAGACGATGTTTTTTATTTTTTTTAATGCATTTCAAGGATTAGATGTTTTTGGAGAAATGCATTGACGCAGGGTTTTTTGTTATGTTACATGAGATACCATGTGAGCATGTATGGTGTTGATACTGGCAGAAAGCCAGTTCTTTTACATGAATTGTTATTATATATTGGAATTGCTTCTCTTCATTTCCATTGAGTCGTGGATTGATGTTTGAGTGAAATGTCAGACTAAAATACCCTGAAGCTGATGGCATTGGTAGGATTAAGGGATGTAAGAAAGGGGCAAGGGCCATGATTCGGTGGATCAATTGACCTGTAGCGTCTCAAGGTCCCCTCATCCGAACCTTAACGTCATTTTGATTAATTGTTCTCGCCTCAATCATCTCGTCCTCAATTACACACAGAAAGAGCTGCGACTTGATTGCATGAGTTGCGCAAGCTGGACGCTGAGTCATGTAAGTACAGCGAACAATACATGCGTGCCACTGCCATGAATTTCTTACTGATGCTTCTCTACCTTAGACGTGTATGAGTGGAGCGACTGCCTGTTCGCTGCCTGTTCTGATCTACCACTGTCATCAACTACCTTACTACTACTTTCTCACCCACGCCATAAATCTACTCTTGTTCTTCCGCATGGAAAACTCTCTCATCCCCTCTCCCTCTTCTAAACTTTACAAAACTTTGTAAAAATTTATCAGTTTCTATAAACTCAAACCCTTTTACTGAACTTTGCAAAGTCTGGCAAAATGACAGCCGACTCAGACACCGCCATGGTCGATATCAGCACCCCCTTAACGGCCGCAACAGCAACTTCTCCCTTTCAAAGGATCCCTCTCGAGGTTCTTCTACGAATCACTTACTTCCTCACCACTCCCGAGCTGGGAAACGTCCGCCTGACATGCCGCTCAATCGAGCAGGCTTTGTACACTACATTTACCAATGAGTTCTTCACCCGCAAGCAGTTTATGATCTCAGAAACAAGTCTGCAGGCCTTGATTGACATCTCAAAGAGTCGGCTCAGTCACCATCTTCGCAAAGTGCATTTCGGGCTTGATAGGTTTGCACACGCCCTGCAAGTTCACGGTCACAATGCCAGGACAGCGAGGCAGATGGAGTTGTACAATGGTCAGTTTTCTCTGCTGAGTACGGGGTATCACAGGGATATGCTTGTGGAGGCCTTCAAGAACCTGGAGAATCTTGAAGATGTGGTCATTCGCGACTTCAACTCGGTCCGCCGCACTCGCGATGGCCCAGGTAAACAGTGGACAAGCTACGGATCGACTACAGCTTTGAGGGAGACCGGGTCTCGTCCTGGCCAGAACAGTGGTATGGCCTGGGGACCTGATACGTCAACGGCTTATGGAAGCACGATCTTCACATCTGTACTTTTCGCCCTCGGCCAGGCTGGTGCAAAGCCAAAGGGCATCGAGCACATGTCACATTCTAGGAATCATCTGCGAGATTGTGCCTTCAATATCCCCTCGTATATGGACGCCTCGGTCACCACTGTTCTGGAGAATCTTGAGAAGCTACACATCGACATCGATTTACTCGGCGGTAGCGACTTCTCTAGCGACGATGCCGCTGGCCATTCATCGACTGCGGATATGATGCTTCGCCGGTTTCTTCTCAAGTTGAAGAACATCAAGCACCTACGTATCAACGAGACACATAGTAGTGTTACTGGTCCCGGTATGCTTCTTGGGTGGCTAGGTCGAGAAAGCACCCCCTTGTCAACCCCTCCAACAAACCCTTCTGCACCTGGATCACCTCGTGCGCCCCTTGAGCCTTCGCCAGAATACCATCAGCTGGAAGAGCTCAATTTTGGAATGATGAATGTGGAACCTCAGCACCTCCTTGCCGTTGCCCGAAAGTTTGCGCCTACGCTCAAGAGACTAGAACTACACAAGGTCACCCTCCGACGACGCCTGCCGGATGGCCACTCAGGGACTCCGCCAAAGACAAGCTTCTGGAATAAGTTTCTAGAGAAGCTGAAAGACATCCCCAACCTCGACTTGCGTCACATCAAGATCAGTTTTCCTCAACAGCAGTGGGCTTCACGCCCGACCCGCTCCTTTGTCACCTTTGAAGGCCAGAGAGAGAGCGTGAAGCAGTACACCGGGACGGATTGGAAGTACTTCGTTGGGCACGAGATGATGCCCAAGATCAACGTGCAATGGCCGAGTGAAGACAGCAGTGCGGACGAGGGTGATGATGATGATGACGACGGTATTTGGGACCTATATGCGCTTGATCTTTAAGCGCGGGGTTTTGCTGACGATGTATGACAGATGATTCCGACGAAGACGAAGACGACGATGGGGAATAGTTAGCAGGTATCAGGCGGATTACATGTTTATAGGACCTAATCTAAGGTCTACTAAGTCCACACTAAATTATCTTAAACTACCTGTCCTAAATTGTTCTAAACTGTCCTAAATTATCCTAAATTAATCTAAACATTCTCTCATTGTTTAGGATGATATCCTGAGTTTTCTTGCCTCCCTTCAGTAGCCTACTCATAATCAAGTCATCGCATGCTACAGCTCTTTGCGTATCCTTGATGACTTCCCAGCCATCGGATGGTATGCTCTCCCCTGAAGATCCAGGCATGATCCATTTATTCCAGGCAGCCATTCCCACTTCGACCGGTTTAATTGATATCACATGATGTCGTGGCTGGGTCGCGCCTAGAACCTGGGTCTTTTGGCGTGTTGGTGCCTGGAGCGCGTCTCCTCGGTTATTTGGGGGTGACAGAATGACTGAGCAGGTCGGGCTCGATAGGCATTGAGCTTTCAAGACTTGTCGCTTTGCCTCCGTAGGTCAAAAAGTGTATTTTAGCAATACATGAGTGTGATAATAGGTTATTGTAATGTATTTTCTTTCAATTCGGCTTCAAACGCAATAACAATAATCTCTTTTATTCCTTCCATCGCTAAAGCTTAGTAGCGAAGCCTTTTTGTCACCCTGCCCCAGCTGTCAAAGGGATCGCTCCAAGTGGGGGGTTTCAGCCTAGATGTCCGTGCTACCTTCCCATTCAGCTGGACGTCACCTCATATGAGCTTGAGCTTACGGGAACCTTTAAAATGGGAAGGCGCCGACCTCATCTCTAGACCTTTCAATTTCTCCTCAATTCAATTCAACTCAACTCACCTCACTCTCCCCTCTCACCCTCATCTTCTTCTACTTGTTTCCGTCTCGTAATTTGCACCTCGCACCATTGGACAAGGATCGCTCGCCCTGAGATTCGGCGATTGCTGCATTCGGTTCAGCTCAAAGTTGTTGGGTATGACGCCCCTGAACCAAGCTCTTTTCTCCACGCGACGGATGATTAGGGCTATTACGAGCTTTGCTAACTTTGTCTTAAGTTGAGACAATTCCTCTCTGAACTCTAAGACTTTCCCCCAACTCCTACACCACTTTCAATCACACATCAGCCAAAATGCCTCCTAGAAGAAGAGCTGCCGCGAACCCGCCAGCTAATCCACCTCTGGACGGCTGCGCGATCGCAGTCAGCGGCAAATTTGACGACATTGGCCACAGTCATTCCTCTCTCGAGGCTCTCATTCGCAAGCATGGTGGATCATTCACCAGAAGCGTTACCAAGGCTACCACTCATGTTGTTTCTACTCAAGATGACTTTAACTCCCAAAGCAACAAAGTCACAGCGGCCAAAGACAAGGGCCTTCCTGTCGTGAACCCTTTGTGGCTCACTGATATCGAAACCAAGGGTGACAAGCTGAGTGCTGACGACTATACCTGGGACTCTGCTTCCAAGACCAATGGCATCGCTAAAGCTGCCACCAATGGCAAGTCAAAGAAGCGATCCCCTCCTGCCGCTGATGATGAGGACGAAGAGGAGGAAAGCCAACCCAAGTCCAAGCGCGCAAGGAGCACCAGCGTTGCGCCAAAAGCCAAGGCTAAGCCCACGGCGGTCAAGAGGAGCACTAAAGATAAGCCCGCCGTTGAGGATGAGGACGAGGCCCCCAAGACCAAGGCCAAGCCTAAGGCTGCTGCAAAGAAGGGTGCTAAGGGCAAAGCTGCTGTCAAGGATGAGCCCGAGGAGAACTTGGAGGATGAAAAGGTCGTTGCCGAGGGCCAATTCATCAAGAAGAAGGATGTCGCAATTCCTCTCGATGAGCACTGCACTCTCCCCACCTACCAAGTTTATGTTGATCCCGACTCTGGTCTCATTTATGACGCTTCACTGAACCAGACCAATTCCTCGGCAAATAATAACAAGTTCTACCGCATTCAGGTGTTGAAGAATCCCAAGTCCACTGACTTCAAGACTTGGACGCGATGGGGTCGTGTTGGAGAGATGGGACAGAAGGCCATCCTTGGAAACGGAACCGTCGACGACGCTATCAAGCAGTTCCAGAAGAAGTTCAAGGACAAGTCAGGCCTCGCTTGGGACAACCGTACCGACAATCCCAAGCCTGGCAAGTATGCGTTCGTCGAGCGTAGCTACAATCCTGATTCTGATGATGACGACGACGAGGACGACAAGAAGGCTGTCAAGAAGGAGGCGGATGATGAGGAAGACAACGCATCTCCTCCTGAGTGTACACTCGAGAAGCCTGTTAAGGAACTGATGGAGCTCATTTTCAACCAGCAGTATTTCCAACAAGCCATGACATCTCTTAACTACGACGCTAATAAGCTGCCACTGGGCAAGCTGAGTAAGACAACTATTACTCGCGGTTTCCAGCAGCTCAAGGACCTCGCTGCCTTGATTGACGACCCAACCCTTGCCGCATCAAAATGGAGCATGTCCATGGCTGCTGCTACTGAGCACCTTTCCAACACCTACTATTCACTCATTCCCCATGCCTTTGGTCGAAACCGTCCACCTATCATCCGTGACAATACCCTACTCAAGCGAGAAATAGAACTTCTCGAGAGTTTGTCAGACATGAAGGACGCTGCGGAGATCATGAAGATTGACCGCAAGACGAGAGATACTATCCACCCTCTCGATCGCCAGTTCCAGGGTCTCGGCCTTGAGGAGATGACTCCTCTTGACCACAAGAGCAGCGAGTTCAGCCATCTCAAGAACTACCTCAACGAGTCTCGCGGTTCTACGCATAACATGAGCTACACAGTCAAGGATATCTTCCGCATCGAGCGACAAGGCGAGTTCAAGCGTTTCGATGACTCCGAGTACTCCAAGATTTCTTCCGATCGTCGTCTTCTCTGGCACGGCTCACGAGCGACAAACTATGGTGGTATCCTTAGTCAGGGTCTCCGTATTGCCCCTCCCGAGGCTCCTGTGTCAGGTTACATGTTCGGAAAGGGTATTTATCTCGCCGATATGTCCTCCAAGTCGGCCGGATACTGCTGCTCTTATAACACTGGTGGCGAGGCTTTGCTTCTGCTTTGTGAAGCTGAGCTGGGTGATCCTATCCAGAAGCTCGTTGATTCTAGCTATAATGCTGGCACTGACGCAAAGAAGAAAGGCATGCACAGTACCTGGGGCCAAGGTAGAACCGGCCCCAGCAAGTGGATCGATGCCGGTGTTGTTCATGAAAGCCTCAAGGGCATCAAGATGGTAAGTTTTCAGATCCTCCAAGTAGTTGTTTGTCCTTGTGTGCGCAAATTCTGACATTATTTTAGCCCGATCCCAATGTCAAGCCTGGTGATACCAACGTTTCCGGTGCCGGCCTGTACTACAACGAGTACATCTGTTATGATGTTGCCCAAGTCAAGCTGCGTTACCTCCTCCGAGTCAAGATCTAGGACCATGACTTGAACTGGTAATGACAACGCTTGCCCATGAAATAATCAGCGACCATCCATATTTATAAATGTGGGATTACTGTTTATTTGGGACATCATGTTTCTTTGTTTCACGGTTATTTATGATTCTCGGTGTTGGCGCACCAGCGGGATGTTTTGACATGCGGGAACACAAAAGCGGTTGCTGGAAGTCAGGGTCACCACTGGCAGTAGACCAAAGGATCGCAACGGCGTTATACGGACAATTGTTGTTTGACTTCGATGTTTTCTTTCATTTCTCATGTGTCTCTCAGACTACTGTATGTACATGAAGATAATACACTATCTAGAACATCTGCGCATTATCGTGAAGGGTATCATATCCCTAAAATATCCGTGTCTTTTATTTTCCAATATTCCAACTCTTGCTTGATTCTAGATGCGGGTCATCGTGATTTGGTTGTGCATAGTACTAGATGTTCTTAGCTTGTCGTCATCCTCATTCTTTGAAAGGCCAAGATCCGATGCTGAACGTGACCTTCAAGGCATATAAGTCATACAGGTAGTGAAGCTGAGCTCCAACACTTTGTACAATTGAGCTTTTATCAAGTGGTTCTGGGTATATGACCAGAAACATGCCCGAGATCTCTCATGGTTCAAAGTCTTTGCTTTTTGATGGGTGGTAGGGGGTAGATCGGCCAGTATTGATTTTCTAGCCTGTGGTGGACCTTTCTGTTTCATCTGTAGGGTGTAAGGCAGCGGTCTCCAAGCTCAAGAATTCGGATTCGCCTGCATATCTCGGTTCCATCGCCTCAGTGGAAGTACTCCTGCCTTCGGAGGGTTTGTCGGACCATCGGGTTGAGAATCGGGGTTTCGGGGTGTCATTGACCCACAGCGAGATCCGACACTAAATATGGTGTAGATGGCTCTGAAGAATTCTTGAAACTCCTCAAGCGGGATTCAAATCTTCTAGCCTGATCCAATGCTTTTCAGGCCCCAACTCCTCCATTGAGAGCATCCATGCTCAACCAGTCGTTGTTTGGCATCCAAAGATTCTGATCAAGCCCCATCCCGTACTCCAGTCCACTATCCGCGCCTAACCCATCGGTACCTCCATCGTAGGCATTGTTGATCTCTGAAATTCCAAAGTCTTGACGTGGTACTATCTCGGGAACGCTCACGGTTGGTTTCGCAGGGGCTTGGGCTTCGGTGCTTGGGTGTGGCAAGTCCGGCGAGACTTGACTTTCGGGGACCCACGGATCGGCGACGAGTGAAGGAGGGAATGTTGAATCGGTCATGGCGGATATCGAGACAGAGTTCATCGAGCTGAACTGGTTAGATTCGCTCATGTTATGATCATGCGCGAAACCATGTCGTAAGGGTTGTTGCGAAAAGCCATTATCAAGAGGGAGTCGGCCGTGTTGATCTGGCGTTGCGGAAGGTCCGCGGATGGCAATTCCATGAGTTATTAGCCTTTCCAGATCTGCTTGAATGCCTTCTGCCGTCTTCCCTGCACAGCAGGACTTGATAGTTGACAGACAAATCTTTGCCCGTTCCATGACGGCTTCCAAGTTGAGGTCATATTTCAAAGCATTAGTATGATACGCGTATGTTAGCACACGGGCGCATTGATATGCGCAGATAGCCATATCCAAATCTGTTACAGGCTTCGAGTTGAGTTTGTGCATAGATGAGAAGATATTGGCCATTGACATGGCATGTTCGACACATTGTCGTTGACAATGGTCGACAAAAGCATCGTCGAGAGATGCAAGGATCACACGAGGAAGGGCTTCCCGCAGACCACCTAGGGCAAGACGGTAAAGGTCGATTTGACATTGATGCCACCAAACGTGAATCATGATGAAAGTACATATTCGAGGAGAGTAGGCTCGGAGTCGCAGTGAGCTCTCTGAAAATTGAAAAGATGCTGGTAAATGGGTGGCGAAATCACTGAGGTCTTTCTGCAGTCCCCAGATACCGGCTTGAAGTTCATCAGGCTTCGTGTTTCGAGATAACATAACGCGCCGAGAGAATTCCATAATTCGTCTTCGCATGTGCTGTATGCGAATGTGGAGAGCTAGACTTCCGGGGTCTTCGGCCTGGGGATTTCGAGGTTTGTCGGGATCATGAATAAGTCTCTCGGTCGGTTGTGGGAGATCAAATTCAAAGTTGCGCTCATTGCATGGCAATCCTACATGGATCTTATCAGCACTCCAGAGAGAGTAGTCACGATAGCCGCCCGAGACACCCGAATCAATACAGTAGAGTGCCCACATGAGTCGACGGCGAGACTCTTGGGCGAGGAAACAAAGATTTGGAGATTCGTGATTCAGACGCAAGGCTGCGGCGTATCGGGAAGCGATACTGAGCAGCATAAAAGCGCTTGGAGACTTCTTGGACAGGATACGATGCTTGATAATCAGGACAAGCGCCTGTACTTTGATGGTTGAAGGCCGAGTGTAATCGGCAAAAATGAGAGCCTCAGCATCGTCGATACATCTTTCACCATATTCCTTCATGCCCGGTCCCATATCTGTAAGGTACGAAGTAATGCCAATCAGGGCCAGCAGAAGTGCCTTTTCAACTTTGCCTGTGTTGTATCGTCCTTCAAGGGAGGCTCGATGGAGAAAAGAGAACATGGGAATATGATGGACATGGTTGAAGAACTTGTTAAAAGTCCGGCCTATTAAAGCATCGAAAGATTCATCTGGAAAGGGGCTACAGCTGTTGTTAGCCGGTGGAAGTTTAACTACAACATTGACTTACACTTCAGGTGCGAAACCTTGAGGCGTAGCGGTACTAGCCGGGTCGGTCAACCCAGGGTCGCTATCGTTGTGACCATCTTCTCGATCACCTTCTTGGCTCTGCGGGCTTCGGCCTTCGCCTCTCATTGTAATGCGCGCCCTTTTGCTTGGCCGGTAAACGCACTCAATGCCTTGGGAGCGACAGCGATCGCATGACGGCATGTGTCCGGAACATCGGGCTTTTCGACTATGACAGCTGATGCAAGCTTGTCGAACTCGGCGACGCGGCAGAGCGCCAGACAAGGCACCGGCGTCGCCGTCATCGTAGGAGCAGGGAAAGCCAAGCCGCTCGCAGTTGGAGCAAATGTCGCGCGCACCATTGCATCGTACTTTTCGAGCGCGGCAGGTGACGCAGGTCAGTGACGATTTTTTGGGTTTGCGGTCGGGAGAATTGGCGTGAGAGGCGGGCTGAGATGGGTTCACGGATTGATGAGGGATGCCCGAGGCAGAGGAAGTGTCTGGGACGGGGAGAGGAGAGTCGAGGGAGGAAATGAGGTTATTCGGGTGGTCGCCAGCGGCGGAGGCGAGATCCATGGCGACGAGGTGGGAGGTTTTGGGCGCATGGAGGGACTCAAAGACTGGGGATCATGAATATGAGCTTTAGCAGCGAGTTCCGAGATTCGAGAGCGATCCACCGAGACCAACGTCAAGTCCGACGAGGGTCTTGAGGTGGGGATAACGGCTCTGACTGTAGCTTGTTTGCTTGTTTGCTTGTTTGTTTTTATTCAGGTAGAGGAAATTGAGTGACGGTGGTGGTGATGGTGATGTTGGGTTTGGGTGGGAGTCAGAAGGCGGGCGCTGCACAGACAGACAGACACACAAACAACTTGCGGAGTAGTCTACGTAGTGTAGCAGACCTAGTGGGTAAGATAAGGAAGGTGTGGCCCTGGCCTGGGGTTTCTGGGTCTAGGTCCGGGTTCTGCGTTGGTGGGAAAGCGGGACCGGAAGGGCCTACAGTTTCTGTCTGTTTACGGGAGGGTTGGGTGTATGCATCCTAAAAATTTGGTGTTGATACAGTGGAAGCTGCTGCTCTAGGTATCTGATGATGGGTAGAGTCAGATCTTCACCCAGATCAGACATATAAAAGTCTAAATCAAGCACGCAATTAATCCTCAAACTGGCGTATAAATCGATCCCTTCCCTCTCGATTCGACGAACCTCTCTGGACTCTGGCGATAAAACTCATGGAACGACATTGTGTGGACCGCCATTTGGCCCACAGCCTAAGCTTGCTTGGCAGAAAAAGTTATACCCGAGTCTCTCTCATTCGCGAGCCACGGATGTCACAAAAAGGTCACCGCTAAATATTCACAGTGAGAGTTGTATCTGCCTGTTTCTCCCGGTTCGTGGAACGTCGTTGTTGGGCTATTTATCTGTCGGTGTCTAAAACAGGTGTCTAAAATAGAGAGCTCCCTCCGAGCTACGATCGAAGGATTGCACGAGTCAGTTAAGCTAGCGAAACGAAACGGGGAACAAAAATCAGTCAGGCACCTGATGCTACACAGCATTACAACGAGATGTCCGAACCAGCCAATCCATTTCTCGCTCTGATTCTTGCAGAATTCTCCCGCTTCTTTTTGTCCAGGCAATGAAATCTGCCGAAAAAGACGTTTCGAAAACACGCATCATCGGTAACTCTATTGACAATGTGACAAGTGAGCAAAACCTGGGGATACCAATGAGAGAGAGAATGGACCGAGAAGCGACGCCTTCAGAAAGGGTCAGGCCCGCTCGATCCCGGCACCTTGGGCTTGATAGTCTCCGCTACGAACCAGGTTAATTGACCGGGATTAAGCAAACTTTTGAACGTTGTTGACCGATGCAACCGGTCACAATCAGGCAGTGAAGAACGGATAGACTATTCGAAAAGGCAAACATTATCGTCATGTCCAGCGAATTCTGCGCATGAATCTCGATCCTTCAATCCTTGGAAACTGCAAGACTCTCCTTCAGGACAACCCAAATCGGTCAGGGATACCGACGGTCCGAAGTGAGCTGATCAAGGTCGCGACCAACCGAAGCAAAGATGGACAAATCCTTTGTTAGCGCCTGTGTCTAGCGGATATGCAGCGTGACGCTTGTCCTATTACCACCATTCAATCAACACCTGCGTCATTTATCCGACGGCCGCTCCGACTCCCGGAATATCATCGTTTTACCCCCCGGCTCCAGCTCGTATTTGGCAGCGTCCATTGAATGATGCTGAGGCCAAAGTGGTGGTGTCTACATCTATCTGCGAGTGGGCGTGGTCAAGAGTCTGTGGGCATATGTCCGCTGAAGAATCTGATGCAACCTGTCTTTGAGTCACTCTTTCACATCTCAGCAATATGGTTGTCATGATCATGTTGGTATTGATCTCGGCTTAAATCTCTTCGAATGTCATGATCATCAGCCAATCTCCACTATCTAACGGTGTACGAAGCCACACAAACAACTCCTCATAGCTTTGCTGATGGCCTATGTGCAAGATCCAATCAAGGCATTAAACAACTAGCGTGCAAGGGAGATCTAACCTGCATCAAAACCAGGCTTTGGTCTAGACACGCTATTGATGGTCCAGCTCGTCGATGCCGACACCCCTGGCAGAACTTCACCAACGAATGAGAAATAATACCTAGACATTCTGGCCAGCGATTGTAAACCTGGATTGTTATCTCTTGGTCTCTCATGATATTCTGTGGGTCACACGACTTGATATCATCGAGCACCAGCAATAGCTTCAGGGAGCTTCCCCCGCACTTCAATCTAGCTTTCAGACTAACAGTAGTTCCCAAACTAATCTGCTTGGGTTGAGTTGTATTTTTTCCATGGCCATTCTGTAAAATGCACAAATATGGGATGAACAAAGCACTAAGTTCGGATCTTTGAGACGGGCATCTAGGGTTTAGTTCCTGATATCCCGTTCTTCTATAGGTAGCCAGGAGGAGTAGATCATATCATTCTAGCACCCTTATTACCACTCAAAGTTATTTATCTTAGGAGGATACATCTCTATTAACTTAAAAGTGTTTGAATATGGAAATTAATATAGAATGAGTATTCCTATATTTATATTAAATGCATAATAAAACAAATAAAAGAAAACTTTAATCTTCATACTAAGTCAGCATTAGGCACCAATCCCAAGCCCCTTTCTTCCAGGGCACATCCTCCAGGATCCAACAATATATCTATCAATCCAATGACCATATTCCCCGGCCGAGACCCGTATCTGATCCCCGTCCGGCCCGGTCCGTTGGAGCGGAGGAGGACCCTGCGTCTCGGCAGTGGAGAGAAAGGATACTACCTGGAGGTCTTGGCTTTCAGCTGGACTGCGGTTTACGGAGTACTCTGCTCATAATTTTGTGTCTTTACTTTACGATTATTACCCTTATTATGGAGTGAGCACGTCCTGAGGCTGTTGAGCAAACCCTCACTGAGGCTGTCGTGGATCCATAGGCCAGGGCGACCATGTTCAAAACCTCCTGCTCGACTTCAACAATAGCCTCTCAGTAAACAGATGGACAGGGAATATCACTATACTGAGATCAACGACTACTATTGGGAAGCAATGGAGCAATGTCCAGACGCCAACTGGGCCAGAAATGACAGGCCACGCAGAACACATATGACTGATTTCCGTGTTATTATATTCTTTATCACATTAATCCCCCACAGAAGACTCCTCCATCTTCAGTACATATACTGCTCGTCAAAATCCGTAAAAAGCCCGTTCAGGTCCTGACTTCCAGCCATACTCGATGCCCAAGCATTCAAATCCAACCCTCCACCATAAGGCAGACCAAACATCAAATTTTGATCCGTAACGGGGTCTCTAATGCCCCAATTCGTCTGCTGTTCTGGAGATTGCTGTTCACTTTCTGCTTCAAGTGGAGCCGCAGGAGCTGCATCATGACTGTCGTCGACAAAATCGGATTGTCGAAGGAGACTGTGTATTGCAAGTCGCTGGCGGATATATGCGTCTTTGGCGAGCTTCGAAGATTGGGCCGGATTTGGATCTGTCGTTGTTGTGATAGCGCGGTGGTCCGAAGACTCAAGCCACGCCTTGTGTTGCTGTATAACTCGTTCAAGTTCTTGTCGCTATCATCATATCAGCAATTTGAACCTCAAGAGGTCTGGGTGGGCTTACCATGGACTTCAGTTGTTCTGAGAATGCAAAATATCGTGTGACGACATCAAGACACAGCTGCGCCTTATTGATGGCCATTTGCATGGGCAGCCCAGTGTTGTCCTTGCCTGTGTATGTTCCGAAGAGCACCAACCTGGCTGCATGGTAAGCACAAATAGCTGCTTCGAACTCAAGTATTTCATTCTCTTCCTTGTGCTGCACAAAGTCCGACAAGACTTTGACGATTTGTTCTGCGTGCGATAGGCACTTGTCCTTCATCAACCCCTTCTCAGCTGCAGAGATCCCCTCAATCATGGTGTCTGGTGTAGACTCGGGATATCCAGTGAGGAAAATTCGGTAAAGGTCGCAGTGGGTTAAGTGCCAGTTCATGTGCTAGTCAGATGAATTAGCCACGTCAGAGCGTCATGCAATAATGCTTACCATTACAAAGTATTGTGGTGATAAATGAACGTCTTGTGTATATGAGGGTGGATATTGATCACAAGGCGCAAGTCTGGTCCTTAAGCGAAGAAGATCATTCTGAAACTTTTCCATTGACGAAAGGAGTTCGGGGAGATTGACCTCTTTCACGTTTATTCGTCTATTGAGTCTTACAATCGCTCTTCGAATGAAAGCCACTCGCACAAACGCAGCCCGAGTTCTCAGGACCTCTGGCTCGAGCCCTTTTCCGGGCTGTAAGTATCCAGTAGGGACGTGTCGTTCTTGCTGAAAGTCAGCGTCTTCGCAGGGGAGTTGTAGATAGATCGTGTCGGCGTCGAAAAGTTCAAACTCTTTCAGACCAACGCAAAAGCTATCTTCAAGCAAGGACAGAGACCAAAATGTTCGTCTGCGAACTTCTTGAGCGACGGGACTTAACTTGGAGTGTTCATAGTTGAGGCGTATCGCTGCGGCCCATCTAGCTGCAAGTCCAGCCATTATGAATGCCCTGGGGAACTGTCCCACAGCCGCTCTATATCGTATTAGGAGGAGGGACGCCTGTATCTTGAAAATGGAGGGTTGTTCGAGCCGATCGAGTATAAGCTGCTCAGCTTCTCCAGCCCATGCATCGCGCTCGCCTTGACATTGGTCGAAGTAGATGGCCGTGATAGAGCAAATTGCCAACTGAAGCGCTCGATCGATGGTCTTGTCGTGGCATCTTTGGATGACTGTGGCTCGGTGGAGGAAGCAGAAGGCAGAAAGGGGGTAGAGCCGCTCGAAGTACTGATTGACGAGCGATATTACCCCATCGTCAGGAATGAAAGGTGGGCCTTCTTCGATCGAGTCAAAGGGGATTGATTGGGAGCTTGAAGCGATACTTGGTCGTTGTTTTCTGGGTGAAATAGCAGCCTGAGATGTTGTTACGGACACCGAGTCGTCTCGAGACGACGAAGCTTCAGTCGTTGATGACCCAGCTTTTGAGACATATGTGCACGGTCTATTTCGCCTTGTACAATTGGTGCATTTCGGAACATCGCCAGAACATCGGACCTTCATCGCCCGACATTCCTGACAGGCTTTCGCACCACGACATTTTGGCGGTATACGAGGCGCAGACTGACCGCTGGAGCCGTCCTGTTCAAAGGAACACTGAAAGTTGAGTCGCTCACAGGTACGGCATCGAGGAACTGTGCCGTCACATCGGACCTCCAGGAGTTAGTACCGACCGAGTACCGAGGAGTAAGTTTGTACATACCTTACGGACTCGACATTGGACGCACGCCGCTTTCATTTCAGGTTCCTGCAGTGCTGGTGAAGAATCTTTGAAGGACTTGGTGAGCCGACATTCCAATTCACTAAGGGTTGATGTTTAACGGCGGATATCTCTTTTCCGAAATATTGGTGCTATCGAATGCAGTGACTTAGGGCAGAAGTGTCATATCCCGCTCCGCGAAATGATAGTGCAAGGAACAAACTCTGTTCCTTCGCTAGTACACTACGATGCACCTCGGAAAGGGCCAAGTTCCGACCATCTTCCTTGGTTGCTGTTGTAGAAATTGGAAGCACGCCATTCTGTGCAAAGAAGGTAACTTGATCTCGTCAACCACGGGTGTCCAATAAAGTTATCGGCTACTCCCCGTCACATCACTTTGGTCCGCGATGGCGTGCGGGGTCTCCGCAAAATGTGACAACCTGTATCCAATCATAAGATTCGATGACCGATACGCGCATTAACCATGTGTTCATGGTTGAGGTGATGTTTGCGAATCTCCGGTTTATTTCCTGCAACTCCCCGATGTTCCTTGTTAAGGCTCACGTCAAGTTGCAAGCATGATGGATGTGTAATAAAAGAGCAGGACCCCAACTGAGATGTCTTGGTCAGCGCCAGCTCTTGGTTGGTGCGCCATGAAGCAGACACCCTGTTTCCTACCTTCGAGTCGTTGAATATTCTCGGGGCACAATGGTAAGCATCGTTCAATTGCCTGCTTGGGCCATGTTTTTCATCATTTGTGAAGATCATGACCGCTTCAGCAGAATTCACGCACGAGGTCGCTGGTGTTCGCAAGTTCTGCCACCCCAAACGGGCACGTGATGATCTATCTTGAGACCCCAGACGTATAGTCAACGCGACTCTTTGAGCTTATGCCCAAACCAGATTGTCAATAGAAATATCCTCAGTTACCATATCCACTAATACGTGGGAATATGGCGTGCTGGAACTGTAAGCACCTGATTGATCAACGATAGCTTGTCCAGCAATCACGGGCAGAAACTTATTGTGGCTCTTGCTTGATCACTGGCTCTCTTTTAATCTCAGTAGACCCGATGTTCTGGGCAACTGGAGTGGATTCATCTTCGGTATCTTCTTGCTTGACCCCTCGATTGTCCAGATCAGAACTATGTTCGAGTTGAGCTGGAAGAGCGGCGGAAGAGTTGAACAGCGCGACAAGCAGCGCAAGTGGATCAGGAATGCTCTGCAGAGGCTGGGGTCGCGGAGAGCAATTGTCACGACATACCAAATGCCTATTTGGCTGCCTCCTATTACCTCTACCATTGCCCCAGCCGCGAACTTGAGAGTGACTGCGATGGCGGCGATTCAAAGGGGGATCATGGTGTTGGTCTGGGACCTGCCCTTGACCTTGAAATGCTTGATTCACCTGACCCTGTGGGGGTGGAGGCATATGTGCAGGCACAGGTTGCGCGTAATGATAATAGCCCAGTGGCACTGCGTTTTGGTACACCACAGGAGGAGGGTAGATAAATGGTTGCGACGACGGAGCATAAGGGAATTGTCCATACGCTGAGTATGCCACAACTGGAAGAGGGGGAGGGAAAGGAACAGGCGCTTGCCCTGGACCACCCCCATTCTGAGGATGGACCATGTTTCCTCCGGGATACTGACCGCGTGCGCGTCAGGATCGTCTTCTACGGCTGTTGCCATGAGTTTAGTTGTTCATCGTTGTGGTTTCTGCTGAGACGGTGAAAATTAGAAGCAGGCCACCAAGCGAATGACAGGCACCAATTATCGGACATGAATGTGATGATTCTACGAGCGTCTGTTTGTTGCCATGATCCTCTCACGAGAAATGCCAGAATACAAGACGAAGGTTGATTCAGATGGAATTCTTGGTCAACCCGAAGGCAATGAACAACAGGCGAGCGGATCAGGATCAATCTTGGCAGCTGTAAGGTGATAGGAGGACAGGTCAACATTGCAGACTTAACGGAGTTTGATAAAACACTATCTAGATAGACTTGACATATAAAAGCACTGAAAGCAAGTCCAACACAACTGCACGAGAACTAAGACATCTTCGATGCCACGATGAAATTAAGGGACGCAAGGTAAACTACCTAAGGTACACAACTTCCTTGGCTATAACATCTCAAAGCTAAGCATCTGGTACAATTTAGTTATTTAATAAATAGAACTCATATCTATTCTTTATAGTAACTTTATTATCACTACTCATATTTCTCTTAGCTTGCAAGTATCTATCCAATAACCTTGCCTATGGTTTGCCTGCGGCCTCTGGTAGTTTCCTGTGCTTGTCTGTACCATAGTAGGCCTTTGTATTCTCCCAGGAAGAGGTGCGTGGATCAACGCCTCCCAGTTGCTCAGTTTCACGACGGTGCTGACCAAGGAGGAACGGATCTTGGATATCCTTAGAGATGCAAAATCTCTTGCTGTGTTGTAGACTCCACGGGAGCCCAGGGACGAAAGTGTCGGGATTCTCCCGCATGTAGTCAAACAGCATAGGATACCAAAATTTCCCTGCCAGAGGTGGCATGTTGGCCCTGCTGAAGACCATGATATTGATCATCTCGTGTGTGTCGTTCTTTGGGAACTCAGGGCAATTCCAGGTATTGTGTTGAGAGGAGTTGCAGATAGCACAGCCACGAATAAAGCCAGTTTCATGGACTTGATGACACATAGCTACCGTGTGACCTCTGTCTTGACAGTTCCCGCAGATAGTGGGGTTATTAGCTGCCTTCAGGCGAGTGTTGGCGTCTCTCAGCTTGAAGTAGATATCAGGATCAGCTCGCTCGGGGGCAAGGCTGTCTCGGGCTGAGACTATCCGCTGTCGCTTTGCCGTGCGGGAAGGCATTTGGGGAGCTGTGTTTGATGGTTCTGTGGAGATTCCTGAATTCCAAGAGAGGTTGATGGGCTCACCTCGCTGGAACATGCCCTCAATTGCCTGGATGGCAGCTTCGCGGTTGGCAAAGCTTGCATGGCCCTTGGCTTTAAGTAGCCCATAGTCAACCTCCTGATTGATCGCGTTCTTCTCGTACATGCTGCCATGGTGGTCGCCAAACACAGCTGGGTCCGCAACATGTGTCATGTTCTCCTGTTGGCCATGCTCCGTGTTATTCTTGCGCTTAGTGCCTCTAGGGGCCTGTTCAGGGTGAAATTCTTGACTGTGACTCTCCGACTGGCTTTGAATGACTGGCTGGCCCTGATGCTGTGGGTAATTGGCGTTCAACGAGAGACGAATAGCATTGTTGACTGCCTCACTGAGTGGTTCAGCATACAGAGGCTGGGAGTGCAGAGTCACTGCAGTGAGTGGAAGTTGCGGAGAAGCAAGCTGATAGTAGTCATTGGACTGATAGTAGTTGTGGGCAGCCCTGCCGTATCCTTGGGGATAAAAGGCGGGCTGCTGGTATTGCCATTGCTGTTGGCCGTAGCTCGGACCTAGTGTGGCATTTCTAAACTCTTGGGGCTGGCCACGACCAAGACCTCGTCCGATATGAGGACGAACAACGTGTTGGCCGCCCACGTATGGGTATCCGCGGACGTAGTCCTGATAGTTGTTGAAGGGCATCATTCTTCTGTCGATGTGTTGTTGATGCTATCAGTAGTTGTTGATGTTGTCTGTATTCGCTGACGTTAAGTGTGATGGAAGTGAGAAGTGAAGAGGAGAGGAGACAGAAACATAGGAGAGAATACATTGTCCATGGAGATATTGGATGCATGGCATGGACGCTCGTGTGAACGTCCTTTGCCAGTGTCAATACAGAGTCCTCCTGCCACTCCCAGATGTCAACTCACGCTCCGTCCAGTCAACGTCCTCTTACACCCTGTTCTACGCAGGTGGTTTCCCTTCATATCCCGACTCCCATTCCTAGTGGCATCTACTGAGACAACTGTCTCTAAAAGCATTTTCCGCACTGTATCTCCTAAATTCGCAAACATGAGCCTGATCATCACATACCATGTGACACTCATCGAAAACACACCAGATGCATCGCAACGTCCAGTCAAATTCACACGGGCAGAGAAATATACGTCTATTCCCACTGGCTATCTAGTATACGTGGCGATGGGGGCATTTGTGACGCTCCCAGCTGCGTAGTCTCAGCCTGCACGTAACTGTGCGTGTAAGTATCTTCTCCCTCATTACTCCCAGAAGCAACTGTGCTGATAGAGCCAACAGTGTGGCCATCGACAGCTTGGACTCCTCTGCCCTCAGCTCATGACCATTGACTTCTTTCCCTCTAGCGTGATGTTCGTTCATTCATGCGCGTGCCGAGACTTTGAATTCGAGTATTGTCTTCATCACCCATAATAACATCTTGATCTCCATCGTTGTCTTGTACAAGATCCCTTTCCACGGAAGGCGTTGGGCCTTGACCCGTGTTTGCACGCCGCCGAGTGGTGCTAGTATCCTGGATCATGAGAGGCGGCTCGCTGGGTGGGCGTGAATCGGAGTCACGTTTGTGGTCGATCATGCGTCTTCTCTCGATGTTGAGGAACGCGTTCCTATAAAGTTCTACGACTACTACACTTGATGGGTACGTATGGGTAGTGACCCTGCTTTTCTGGTAGAATGCGTAGTGAGCTTCACAAGACATCCACGTCTTTGACTCGTCAAGCCCCATAATCACAGCGTCGAGATCATCCGAAGTGACATGATAGTAACGCGGGATTGGATTCGCCAGATAAACTTCGGTATCCAGATGAGCTTCAGTATTATCTGCTATGCAGCGCAACAAGTCGGCCTCCGTTGTGACGGTCTCACCTGTATTTCAACGTCGCTGCAAGAGTCTTTCCAAGGTCCTTCCTCTTGCCTTGGAGTAACTCGGCATCATCCCCGGAGAGAGGCCGGCAATCGTCAGTTCGACACATGATTGCCCATTTTACCGCAAATAGCATGAACTCATGTCCGTCTTTGCGTCGTCCCCATATAGGGTGTGTCATGAGTTTTGACAAGCTGTCGCAAAAAGAACGTGACCAAATAGGGCAGTTATATTTTGCGTTTTGCAAACCCGAACTTGTTCCCAGCGACCTTGAACTCGTCATCGTTCAGTGTTCAGAGGGTCACAGGGTCTACTCCGAATATATGGAGGGAGATCTTGAACATGGTGACAAGATGTTGGGTATCTGGGGAGGTCCAGAACCGTCTCGTGATTGCTCTCTCGTACACTGTTCCTCTCCAATATTGACTGAGAAACAACCTTTCATCGGCATGGCTCCAATCTTCGTTGTGTGTCGGATTGGGGCATCCGTGCTCGCCTTGGGCTTCATACGTCTCCTTTGTCAGACCTTGGCTATTTGAACTCCTTCTTGCACCAACTGCCGGTGGCCGCTGTGATTCACATCTTACACTCCGGCCAATTAATGTACACTTACGCCATATTGCACCGAAGTTATACTTGAAGATTGCAAGGTTTCATTAATTATTACCTATCATAATCGTCCAACAAGAACTATCACCCCTTTTATAAGACATTATCTCCTAAACCCAGTAGTTCCATGCTCAATGCACATCCTCTCCCCCATAGGCGTATGAATAGGTCCATACGTCCAACTTCCTCCAAGTCCCTGAACAGCATCTTTGCGTTTCCTTGCACTCATGGCCGCAACACCCTCGAGCCCTCTCACCCACGGTGCGTCAGCGACATACCAAAGTGCACCAGCCAGGCTTCGTGGATCGACGGGTAAGTCAGGCCACTTGACCAACAGACTCGATAACATGGCAATGACCATGATGAGAAGAATACCGATGCTCAGACGGGAGCATATCTCGTGGGCTTCACTGGTCTGTGTGAGACTGTATGGTACGTTGGCGAGCAGAATCGGGAGGAACTGAGCGAGGAGGGTGGTGAAGGCTGTGAAGAAGAGGAGAGGGTCGCGGATTCGGAGGGCTACGAAGAAGCCGGAAACTGGGTTTGTTGCTGGTGTCATGAGGACTGATCGTGTAGGAACTTGAGGATCTTCGGCCATTCGACGGTAGGGGGTGATAACAGCGACACCTGAACAGTCAGTATGTATATCAAAAAGGGGGTCAAGGGTACTCACTTGTGAAAAGGAACTCCCAACAAAAGACAACAATAACACCCAGCGCTGAGCAAACAAATCGTACACCAAAGTCTTGACTCTCCATCAATTTCTTCATGTTCTTGGGTAAGTGGCTGAACGTATCAACGAAGTGATAGTAGCTGATGAAGCCAAGCAGACAGATTAGAAACACTAGGAATGTGAAGCGATACCAGAAACTCAAAGCCATGAACGTCTGCGGCGCTCGGCGACGGGTTTGGGGTCGATACGCCATGCCCTCTTCATAAGGCGTGTTACCATAGGGGGCTATGATATCACGATTGGCATCACCAACGACAACAAGACCGTACTCATCTCTCCCCTCTTGGTTGCGGAACCACCCCATAGCGAACCTCTTTTCCGTAACAGCGCCCTTCAATTCTTTCCAATCTTGAGCTCCCATCGATCGAATCTCGGGGTTACGAGCAACAAGCGCCGCCGTGTTGGCAGCACACCAGGGATTCGCAAACACACCAGTTCGCCAATGTCGACTGATAACACTGAGTGTGAACATGAGCAGAATGGCGATTGCACCGAGAAGACCGACGAGTGCGTAGGCAGCTGTGTTGGAAACACCAAGTTCGAGAGCACACCCGTCGATAGCGCCCTTTTTGCAGCTTCCATAGATCTTCAGACCGACTGCTTCACTGGACAACGGCGCCGCGATACTTGATGCCCAAAGAGCAAGTGATGTGAGAAAGGGAAGAGGCTGGTTGTTAAACAAAAGCTTGAACGGGAGATAGATACTCATCCATCCATCGAAACTCAACAACAAAGCCTCACGTCCCAAAGCACCACCCTGTCTTGCCAACGCAGCAAAAGGCTGATATTGCTGCGCTGACTGATTCAACGCTCGAATCCCCATTGCAAGCAGAATAGCAACAATAGGCGGTAGGAACTTTCCAATGAAGTACCCAGAATGCGTAAGCGTATGCGTCGTGGCCTCAACAACAATCTTGGTATCACCCGTCGGCGTCTCAACATCCGTGACAACAACCTTTGTCGGCGGCACAGTCGTAACACGCGTGGTTCCAACAGGCGTAGAAACAGACGTTATAACCTGTCCATCCGCCAGAGTCTGAACCATAGTAACAGGCGGAGGCGCATCAACTACTGTCTTGACCGTAGCAGCGACTTCACTTGTTCTAACTCTCGTGACAGGGGGTTTCGCAACTTTTCCTTCCGAATCTATTGTGAGAACGGAGTAGATCGTTGTTGTTCCAACAGAAGCGTAAACAATAGGTGGACCAGTTCGTGTCGTTTCTCGAACGGTTGTTCGAACAGCGCCGTTTTCTTTTACGGTGATGAGGGTTTTTGTTTGGCCAGGTTGGACGACTGTTGTAGGCTGCCACTCTTCAGGGGGGACTGACTCTTCGGGGATGTAGGACGTGAAAGTCGATGCTGCTTCGGTGATGGTTTCGGTGAGGGTGGTTTCGCCTGTTTCTGTGATGGTCTCTGTTGTTTCTGAGACTTCAATTGAGCCTGGTTCTGTGACCATTGTTGTAAAGACTGATTCAACCAGGGCTGTTGTCAAAGTTCCTCCTTCGACATCTCCAGTTGCAGTAGGCATGCCATCTGTAGGGACAGGCTCTGGCTCAGGTTCTGAGGCTTGAGATTCTTCAGTTCCGGTGTCGGTTGTTGGCTCGGGCTGCGATGGTTCGCTCGCGGCATCTTGTCTCTTCATATAGAAGAGGTCATCATTTGTGATTCTGAACGAACGACTTTCTAAAGTTGCTGTTTTATCATCGCCGTTCAACGTGCGTGTAGCATAGATGATCAATCCCATAAGACCCAACAACACAAGGATCAACGCGCTGATGAAAGGCCATCGTAGAGGAATTGGTCGGTAATCAGGTCTCTCTCGCTCCCGCTTCTCAGATTGTCCCACATCTGTCTCGACAGGATAAACCTCCTGTGCAGTCACCGGTTTGTACTCGTACGTAGTCTGCTGTTGTTGCGGCTGTTGCTGCTGATATGGCTGATAATGTTGATACGGCTCATTCTGCATATATGGCGGTTGATACATCTTGACGACCGCAAAGTTTGTGTATCCAACTTGAGTCGTGTGCAAGGAAAGGAGGCTTTATTAAACTACCACAAACCTCCAACGCCCAAGCCCCCCGGCTCTTCAACCCTCCGAATGCCACGGGGCATTCATCGTGTCATTGCAGCTCCATCATTGGCCTCGCCCTCAACGGCATAACAACCTAAACGTAAAATCCAGGCGTGGCGTCTCCCTGGAAGACAAGGACAGCTGAGCTATTGAGAAATGCGAGGTTGCTATTGGATCAACAGGCGAGTGGTGTTGTAGGGCTGAGAGTTAGAGGTCTCAAAGAGGGAATGCCAAGACTGAGCTGGAGTCTAGACCATTTAAGCTTATCGAAATTTGGGTAAAGCCATCATGTGTCATTTCCACTGAGCAGAATATTCGGCAGTTAGCCTTGCACTATTTCGCATGTGAGTTTGGTAAGAATATTTAATTATTCGTGTCTATGACAAGGCAGATTCCAACGCCTCGTATCCAAAAACCAGTGTATCCAAACGCCATCCCAATTGTACCAAAACTACCAGCCGAGAACGTTGAACAGACTTGTTCGGGGATCGGGAACAGAACCGTTAAAGGTCTTTGCACGAACAGATTCGCTCTTTGTGGTGTTGTATTGGCTAAAGTAGCGATCGAATGTTCGGGATTGGTTTGTGAGTTGTGAGCGAACGTAGCCGCCGACAACAGAGATGCTTCCAACAGCGATGAGAACAGGAAGGACCCTGAAGTTATTTGTTAGTGGAGAAGTGGTAGAAGGTCAAATTGATGCTTACTTGGGGCCGACAGTGGGCTTGATCATGAGAGCAGCCATTTTTGTAGATTGGTTTGATTGGTTGGTGGGTTGTGTAAGTGAGCTGAAGCTGAAGCTGAAGATGCAAGTGTCGTTGGTGAGAAGATCTCAGTGATTGTTGTTGTGAGGTAATTGATGGTGATGAGCAAAATGATTTGAGGGCAAAGAACTCGGCCATTATATATTCTCCTCTTGAGCTTCATTTCGTTCGTTTCCGTAACTATTTTCTGCAGTCGCATGTTGATGTTCTGAGCTGACGGGTGGTGCTGTTTTTGGTGGTGCCATAGAATGATCCAGCCCTGGACACAGCCATTTCGGGCGATGCCGGGGTCCGCAACACCAGATTTGGATCTCTCACCTTTTGAGATCTTCATCATGATTGAGAAGTTGATCGATTATCTCTATCTAAGGATAAATATTTGCTATCTTACATAGTTTATTTCATGCATTCCAAGTTCTATGGCACTTTCAGAGTCCTGGACATTTCTGGGTGTGAAGTTTATGTCCAATTCTATTTTCAAGCAACCAGATACTAATTATCAATTGAATAGCCATCAACATGCATGCTTCCCTCTGCGACAGTCATATCTCTGTAATTCCTCAGCTAAACCCATCTACCAAATGCATCTGTAAATGCGATGGTGGTGATGGCATTCTCAAAATGTGGTGTTGAGAAATCGTCTGATTTTCGGACCCGGCGTCTACCGAACCCACCCAAAATTCTCCGGGAAATCAGTCCATCATTCGGTTCTCGACACACTCAGCCCTGAAGCACATTCTCGACTGCTAAAATCGTCTCACTGATCAACTCTAACTCTGGTACCGGAATCATCAGGAATAATTCCTGTGCTTTCCCTCTAAGCGTGTAATTTTCGTCATGCAGCGATAGGTTAGGTGATGATCTCATCAATTTTCGGTTGACCTCAAAATCCGTGTCTCTGCATCAGAACCCTCTCATCTTCTTCTTATCCGTGCATCAGCCTCCGCACATCTCGGTTAGGTACGCCCGGAGTCATGAAATGCCCACCGGTCGGGGTTCCACAATTCCCGGTGTCCACGCCGGCAACACGGCCGGCTACGTAATGCATCATAGGCACGAAAAGGAATGCAGAGTGGGCTCTGGTCAAAATAAATCGAGAATGAGTTTTACTTGAGTCCTTTCTCATAGAAGGATTAGCTTCAACCCCTCATCAAAGGTTTGCCTCCTGAGCCAATACAGATCATATCATGGACATCACAGCTACCGTCAACAGTCCATCGATACAACCATCCTTGACCTCCAACTAACAGTCGGAGAATTCCAATCCAATCCCCAGACCCTTCATCCACACGTCACATGCTTCTATTCCCGCCTCAATCCCAAAACGTCCATCCCCCATCAATGACATCCAATAGTCGTCAATGGCTACACATCTCCAGATATTCCAACGCGGGGAAGCTCCTGATACTGTAGCTCACCACGTCATCCCTCCATCATCCAAAGCTCTTAGATCATTGACTGAACCCTATTAAATAGTAAAGCTCCCTCAATTACTGAGATCCAATACTGTTTCATACAAGTAATTGCTGTATCAGAAGAACAAGTAAAAATGTCCATGAGATTGATCCTTCGTCCTGTGGTGCGAATACCACTCCTCCGCCCCCAGATCCGTCATGCTACTACAAACCCTACGCATGTCCATCCAGACGGTAACCTCGGCGGTCCAGGAGGTCAGCAGCCCCCACCTGCACGCCCCGGCGGTCCGGAAGCCATCACAAGGAACTGGTACAGTCACCCTCACCCTCCTCGTTATCACCACTGACCCTCCCAGGATGCCCATTGCCGCTGCTGCAGGTGTGATAGCAGGAGGCGTCTACATCATGCTCCCTACGCGAGGAAAATCCCCCGAGAGAACTCTCGAGAGCGACATGGTAGCCGCCAACTCGACGGCGATTGGATACATCGGTCAACCATCTGGAAAACCAGGTATTGCTTCTCATTACAGGGAGCTTCGAGATGGGAAAGAAGTCGAGTCGATGAAGGAGTTGAGTGGGAGAAAAGGTGGTGGTTCAATGGGTCCTTTCAGAGCGGAATAAATAACGAAAAAATGTATTTCATAACGGAGGCGACTTGCCCAGAGTATCAAATTGTCTATCATGCTCGATGGAGCTGTACATTAATAATAACACATCGCTTACTTCTGCTCTGACGGCTCATCCTTCTTCTTTTGTAGCAGATAATCTCCTCCAAACACCGCTTTGTACACTCCTCTTAATCCTCTTATAGGCCATCCTGTTCGTGCAGTTGACTTCATCAGCTTCTCGTCTCCTTCGATATCGACTTTGACTTTGTCGTAGACATTTGGTAGATATGATGCTCCGTACTTTGCTCTTAGCGCATCGTACGCTTCTTTGTTGTAATGCGACCAGAATTCATCTTCGGTGTAGTATGCTTGGGCGTATAGCCATTTCTTTCCTCCGCAGTCTTGTACTTTCTGCTCCAGAGCTCGATTATGTCGAATTGCGTCTCGTCGGTTTCCTTGTAGAGGGCCCCATATTCCAAAGTTCATAAGTTCCACGGTTCCTGGCTTTGCGAATTCTGCGTGAAGTCCATATCCTGAGTCTGGGTCTTCTCGTCGTACTCGTAATGGACATATCCAGAGGGGATAGATTCTGAATTGCTTGTCCAGCCAGTTTTGAAACTCTGGTACGCTGTTGTAAGGCACTCCGACATCTTGAACCATGTAATAGTCAAATAGGTTACTCTTGTGGCCGGCAGAGTACATGACACGAGCTCGTAGGAGAGGATCCAGGATGTATCGTGTCAGTCGGTTAAATGGTGTGAGAAAGTAGTCAAAGGCGTATTTGGCGACCCAGAAACCACCTCTGTCGTACCGGAATAGATAATCCTTCAATGGGATGTAGTCTGCAACGCATGTGACAGATCCCATCCTTAGCCCATCTCGAACCTTTTCAACATGGAGGTAAAACCACTTGTCCTTCCGTCGGTTCAGTTGCCTAGGCGTAGCGCTGATCGGTATCTCATCCACCATTCGTCCCGCACATACAACAGTTGTATCCTTGGAGTAGGCGATCCCATCAACATAATCATTCTCCCATCTCTTACACTCCTCCTTGATAATCTTGACAGACTCAGATGGCCCCCTCGCGAGTCGGTACTTGAGCTCAACATACTCCTTCGCCTCCTTCAACTGAACCTCCAACAACGTAACGACACCGAGTGTTCCGAACGCCGAAGCAGCACCCCAGAAAAGATCCGGCTGCTCCGTTTTTGAAGCACGCGTCACGCTTCCATCCGCAAGAACAATCTCAATCCAATTGACAGTCGCGTCGAAGGCCCCGTACCGAAAAGAACTGCTCTCTCCCGACGTCCCCGAAAAGCCACCTCCAACGGTAATAGCCGGGAACTCCATAACGACCAGCGGAACAAGCCCCAGCGGCAGCGTCGCATCAACGAGGACTTCCATCGAGACATTTGGTTCAACAATCACTGTCTTGGAATCTTTGTTCACTTCAATGACATGGTTGAGCTTGCTTGTGTCGACGGTGTTGTCCACACGCCGGTTTGAGTGCCGTGTGCTGTTAGTTGAGCCATGGTATAGACGGAACGGTTCCTGGCGGGCGTGGAAGTGCTTAACTCTGTCTGCGACGCCAGCGACGACGGTTTTATGAGCGTCCATCATGAGATGGAATCGCAGAAATAAAAAAGAGATGCAGGAAGCAAGAACAAAGACTTGGCGAGTCGTTCAGAGTAGTATCGGGTCGGAAATAGCGAGGAATGATCCACAATTCCTTTTCCTTGTGTCGTGCGTGCTTGTGCTTGTGCTCGTGCTCGTGCTTACGACCAAGAGTTTTTATATGAGTCGATCACTCATGACGCTTGATTCCGACATATCCGAGCATGATGATTGCTTAGGCTGCTTCGAATCAGCAAGACTCGGCTTATTTACTTTTTGCTTATTACGGTCTGAGGCGCCACGTCAAACACGTCAGCCCTGCTTTGACCATATCGCCAAGTTTTTATTCTATTCTGGTCGATCTCAATATGACGTTTGTTGTTTCATTGGTTCAGCTTGTGATGCATGAATAGGCGGGTTTGCTAGTGGACAAGCAATCCTGGAAATGGCCCCCACAAGACATTGACAACCAAACCAAACCAAACGCTCTGTTGATAAATTATCCTAATGACTCTACAATTCTAGCTTTGATGTGTAAAGCTCTACTATGTATTCGCTCTCATACCCCTCTTTTCCTAATCCGAGTCTACACTACCAAACGCTGTGATAAACTATCCGAACGACTCCAATCCTAGCTTTGGCGTGCAACGCTTTATGGTGTATTCTCCTTACCCTCCGGTGCACGCGAGGAACTCTTCAACGGAGGTAGTTCGTGACCGTTATCATGCTCATCCTCCTCTTCCAGAGAGTCACTGTCGACTTCAACCTCAACGAAATAATCGACCTTTCCAATGTAGTGCTCAAGGTCTTCGCGAAGAACAGCTCTTTGCGTACGAGGAATACCTCTTCTCCTGTACTCCTCCACGGTGATGGAGGGCTCGGGCGTTTCTTCCAACAACATTTGCAGGACTTGGGCATGTTCAGTTACTCTCCCTTCCAATTTGTCTGTATATCTTTTTGCCGGTGTTAGGATCCCGGGATCATCCTCTTCCATACCATGTAGAAGACCGCACATCGCCCAGAGTTTTTCCTATCCTGTAATAAGACGTGCTTCGGTCGTCCATCGGTCAAGATGGCCTTGTATTATACATTTCCGGCATGTTGAAGGGACCCTGCTATTGGGTTTTACACCTAGGAGAAAATCATTCGGGATTTCCATTCCGTCACCACTCAGCACATCAGGAAGTTTGACCGCAAGTTCAAAACTGTGTGCACAATCGAACACAACGCGATGAGTGCACGGCTCGGCGGTATCCTGGTCAACATCCCCTTTCTGTCTGCCTTGCTATGGGCAGATGGGTGACGTCCCAGAGGATTTGAAGTTGCCGAGTAGTGTATTGTAACAAGAATCTCCGATAATGTGTCCACAGGGAAACAATAAACCAGAATGTCCTTTTATTGGAGACATGGTTTTGGGATCCTGGCAAGGTTCTCGACAGGCAGCACAGCGAAAGCGAATACAATTGAATTGCAAAGAGAACAAACTTTGCTTCCCCACGTCATCGTCGGCCGCGTTTTCACCCTTGGCGTGGAATTTATATATGATCTTCCGCAGCCAATCGTATGCACTTGGGTAGTGGAATTGACTGGGGAGGCCTAGGCCTTCATTCGAGAACACATTGAAGAACAGATCGGGGATTTCTGCAGACAAGTGTTGCCGTATGACTGATAGTTTCACGGCCTCATCCTCGGCAGACACGCCATCACTATGTTGGGCTTCGGTCATCCCATCGTCTTTCGATGTCTCTTCTGTGGTTTCTCCTTCTGATGCCTTTTTCTCTGGCGTAATCTTTTCGGTTGATGTGTTGTCGCTAGCTTTTTCGCCGGCACTTTTGTCGTCGGCCATCTTGTCGTCTGTCGATTCGTCGTTGATCACCTTGTGATGGGTTATATGTCTATCAGCAGCCACGTTGTCGGCCACGGTGATGATATGCTCGATAATCAGTGGGCTTTTGGTTGTGTGAATGATACTGGTGTGATAGTTGATGGTGATGTTGATGCTAAGTTGATGTTGAACGAGGTCAGTCAGACTCTTATGAATTGCAAGCACCTTCCAGGTGTAAATCGCATCCCCAACAAAGGCAAGTTGTGTCAAATGCGCCCTTCCTCAGTCTTTAAGAGACTTCCATAGGCAGGTAACGTCTGGTATTCTGCGTCTAAAGTCTCAGTTAAGCAGGAACTCGAATCTATACCCAGCAACTTCTACCCGAACGCCTTCTCATTCTGCCTCTGAGGCACATCATGACGATTCATCTCGCTTTCACGCCTTCGCTTTGGTAGCTCTCCCGGTGCCAAATTCAGCTGATCTAATGAATGGCCTACCCAAGTATATCGCAGCCAACTTAATGGTCGACGGTCCTCAAACAAGGCTTTTTGACATTCGTCTATATAGAAGAATGCAAGGATCATCTGAATCATGAACACAGTTGCATTCCCCGAACATGATGTGAGCTTTCCGAATCGAGTATCCTCAAACCGAATACCCAGGCGCTCCAGGACATGCTCAAATACTGCGGGTTGTTTGATGCGTGTCTCAAACTGTTTCTCCTGCTTCATGTCCCATATCTGAACATTGGGTTCTGCTAACCACTCCAAACCAAGCTGCAACAGCGTGGTTTTGACAGACTCTGCGTCAAAGGTCAGCAAAATGAGCTGTCGAAGACGTCCTTTCCCGACCTCATCTTTTCGTCGGTTTTTCTTTTTCAGCGCCGCAAATACTCGATGTAATCTGTACGCAAGATCTTTCTCCTGGACCCTTCTTGATCGGCCAAAAGCGAACAAGTATGGCGATTGATCTAGTGTATCTTGGTTCTCGAACTCTTCCACTATATAGTGGAGAGGGGCCATGTACTTGAACCAGGACGACCCACGATCTCCGGGTATGACGCCCTTACCACGGTCATACAAGATGTCTCGCATATCAAGATATGCAACCCCGGCCTCGAGGACGGGATCGTGTCGACACGACGGTCCGTCCAGCGATGCGCTAGGCTCTTCCCCGCAGATATCATGAAAATCCAGAGAGATGAAGATGTAGTCGGTGTCAGGCATTCTGACGAATTGGTTCGTCTTGGTGTCCAATGTAGGGAAGGCATGCTCAAGGCTTGTGGGAGGAAGGGCACATGATTCGCAAGGGATGCATTCCGTCTCATCATCAGAAATGGATGTGTTGGACGAGGTGCTCTCTTGCAGACTCGAAGTCGACATCGTCAGAACTGTACTGAAGAGAAGATGAGTGTCAGGGGAAGCTCAGGCATATAATAGGAGAGAACAGGTATTTTCGAGCTCATTGATTTGACTATAAGATAAACACAGCCTAGCAATCAACCTACCACCTTATATACGTTGAATGTCCTGTACTTCAGACCATTTTGTCAGTGAACGGCGACAAATTACGTATGTGAGCCAGAGTCTCACGCGGTTTGTCAGTGAACCCGTGCCATTGTTTGGCCATGGCTACCTGACGCACTATTCAGAGCGAAATCAATAATGGCAGAGCATCAGCCATTCTCAAAATGATATGTTCTATCGCTGTAGAAGTCTCATATACCGAGCAGACACAGGTTGAACTTCGACATAGGCCGCATTCTGTTGATTGAAGAAGAGGTTGCTTTGTAAATTACAGGTAATGGCGGTACAGTAATTCCTTCACATTCGATTAATATCTAACAATACAATCAGGTCTAAGCTTAGTATTCTTCGTTACCAGTGTACCCAAAAGATTCACACAGAGACAATACCCCTACTTGTGTGATTCACAGTCTCGGGATAGCTGTCAAGTATGTCCCTCCCAACTTGAGCATATCAACAGCCTCCTTGACCATCTCATCAACGATCTCCCCTGCAGGCTGAATCTTGGTGATGGCTCCAGCAACCTGGCCCATCAAATGTGGCAGATCGAAATCGTTGCCCTGCTCAAAGTCGTACTCAATTGGCACAACACCCTTGTCGCACAACTCCTTGATCTTATCTGGCTGCTCATGCCACTTCCTGATATAATCGTTTGTCTTCATTCTCAGAGGTCGCCCAGAGATAACAAGAGTTCGCTGCGTATCTTCGAATCCACATGAAACAACTTCTTTTTTGTGCTCCTCACTGCAACTAGCTTCAACAGAGGCTACAAATCGTGTACCTACCCATACGGCTACAGCGCCCTGCATCAATGAGCTTGCAAGACTCCTTCCAGAGTAAATGCCTCCGGCCGCAACGACTAATGCGGGAAGACCCTTGAGAAGAGGAGGGTGGTACTTCGAAGCAACGTCTGCTACGGCGGGGATGAGGATGGAGTTTGCAACATCTCCTGTGTGACCTCCTCCTTCGCCACCTTGAGCGCAGACCATGTCAACTCCGAGCTCGAGCGCCTTGGTCTTGGATGTGTCAGTGAATAGTAGCCAACTCTGATCAGTGACTTACTGCATGCTTGGGATGCCCAACCATGTTCATGACCAGGATTCCCTTATCATGAAACCTCTTAATCACTTGAGGTGGTGGTACACCGACAGCACTGACAAACAACTTGGCACCGCTGTCAATGATGATGTCCACCAACTCGTCCAACTTTCCACCAGTGTAATCATGGTTGGTCTTACGCGCATTGCCTCCAATCTGAGGCAAAGCGAGATCAACACCAAACGGTAGATCAGGCCGTGAAAAGTTGGCCTTCATCTCCGCAATGATCTCTCGAAGTTGATCGGGTGTGTATTGGAAACCACCAATTATACCGAGACCGCCTGCGTTGGATACAGCTGCTGCAAGACGACCACCAGACACCCTAGCCATACCGGCGAGGATGATGGGGTGCTTGATTCCCAGCAGGGATGTAAGTGGTGTTGTAATAGGGCCTGGAGGTGCCATTTTGAGATATTATGAATAACAATAACAAACAAAGATTTGGAAATGATCAAGTATAAGAATACAATACAGCTGGATATTGACCCTCGGTTCTTAGATAGGTATCTGTGGGGTCGGCTCTTTAAGCATCATCATCAACCGATCTACCGATTTGCGGGGGAAGCTTCATCCACAGTCCGAGGCATTACCGCATTAGGCTACCAATTCGCGTATCTCATGTGCCTCTGAATGCGCTTTGAACCCTTTCTGCATAAATTGCCGACGTCGGTGATGCATTGTATTTGTGCACAGTTATTGTGTTGTATTCGCTGAATCTATCAAGTTCCCGTCTCATTCCCGTTTCATCGTTGGCTCAATTCCCATACTTGGCTCGATGTTGGTATCATACATGAAAACATCCGTGACTCGCTATCATCTCTCATTAGGTGGTATTACAGAGAATTCAAGTCCTCGTCATTGGAAATGCGGTAAGCGCGCTGGAACGAAATCTGTCTTCTCTGGTGACTTTGTGCCATCGGGTTGCGAACTGTTTGGCGCTTCGTCTTGTGTCGCGGGCTTGTCTTCGACTTCTTCGACGTGGTGGTAGGCGGCTTTTGAAGGTGAAGCTTGATAAACATCATCCTCTGCTACCTCTGGTTTGGATTCGGAAATAGATTTGGGGTCGGATCTTGGTGTCAGACCTTTTTCTGCCGCGAGTTGCGCTGCTGCTTGTTTCTTCCTCTCGACATCCTCGTCTTGTTCTTTTCGTAGCATAAGCTCTTCTTGTTCCAGGTCATGTAAAGTCGGCCTCTCAACATCTGGCGTTACGGAAAACGACGTGGATCGCTGCTCCATCCGATAGTCGTCCTTGGAAGAAACTGATCCTAATGTCGTCCGCGATACTGTTCTCGACCCTGCCAAACCACTAGCTGGTCTTTTGCCCTTACTGCTTGTTCTCCCACTTCGTCCACTTCGATCATCCTTTCTAACCATGTCGTATGTTACCTCGTCATCGAGTGGAATTGCATCTTCTTCACCTTCGCCATCGCTTGGGAATAGATCACCTCGTGATCGATATGAATCTGATGTATCGCCCGACCCTGTCGTCCCACTGCGCTTTCTAGTCACTGGTAGGTCAAAGTCATCTTCGTCAGAATGTAGCAGTGGTTCATTTTCTCCTTCGCCATGTCGTCGTGGGTGGTCTTGCAGATCTGCCGCACTAGGTTTGTATCTCAGAGTCCCGCCCATCTTCCATGGTAGTTTGCTGAGGAAACCGATCGGTTGAGTACTGGGGATTACGGTCGGGTCATCGTCCATGCTTGGCTTTCGCCTTCGGTCTCGGGTTCCATAGCTCATGCCACGTTTCCTGCGCGGTTGTTCAGTTTCTCCCCCAGTGTGTCTTCGCTGAGTGCCAGTCCCAGCCAACAATCTATCCCAATCTTCATTACCCCATGTGCCAAACAGACCGCTCTGCTCTTCCTCATACCAGTCATCGTAAAAGTCGAAGCTGTACTCTGCCCTACTATGCGACAGTTCTCGCTCTCTGCGCTTTCGTAGACGTTCCTCAGGGTCACCTAGACATACAGTCGTACACTGTTCAATAGATTGCGCGATGGACGAAAAGCATGGGTTGATGTAATTATGTTGAAAGGTCCAGATTCCTGCCGCCGCATTCTCGGTTATGGTCTCGGTATCGTGGGCAATTTGGTTCCAGCGTTGGCGCAGTCGGGGGTCCTCGAGGAATGCCATTGTGAAGATAGTGGATATGACGTCGCAACATGGAAGCGCCGAGGTCGCAATGCGTTTCAGAAGATGTAAGAGGATTCAGAGGAGCTGATGATTAATTTTGGTGCGAGTCAATTAGTAAACATGATCGCAGAGGTGAGGAGTTCACGATCAGCCATCAAAGTATAATCTCGTGAGTGACAGGCTATGATTGAAGATCAGAGCTGATTGTAACTGTAAGACAGCGGTTGTTGTGGCACGTGCAGCGAGGTGAGACGATTAACAGTTGGGCTTGTTGGGTGGTTGGTTGAGTGGAGGTACTTTGAAACGTGGTTGTCTGGTGGCTAGCCATCGAGTACTGGATCCACTGGGCTTGGCTTTCGATCCAATATCTATGATACTTCAATGTTGTAATCCGACGGATCTTGACATGATGAACCTTATTATTTTTGGTGAGAATGCCAGGCGGGATCTTGTCAAGTTGCCCAAGCTTACACTCTATTTTGTTGACGTTACATTTGTCTCAGACGAGGTAAGAAAATATTCGTATTGAGCAGTCTGCAGGTGGTATCAGGCAACGCAGGAAACAGTGATGTAGTACTAAACAGTCCAATAATCTCAAGTTGCGGTATCCTACTTCCTTGGGATACGCATATTTGCTATCACTCTTTCGATAAGCTCTTCCTTGGTGGCCTTTGGGTCGGGGTGTAGATTTCTCTGACTCTGTTAGTCTACGTCAACGGCCGTGAGTGATTCGCTTGCCTTATTCAACCACAATTGGCATTCTTCCTTTGTCCATGTTTTGGGATCACCTGTAGGGTCAGGTTGAGATGGGAAGACTCCTTGGCCATCGTTTCCCCAGATTGTATATGCCGCTGCCATAGAAACAACGCCTCCAAAGACTGGGCATATCAGTATGTGGCTTACCCTGCAGATAACAGATACTTACAGAGGACGACGTTCTGGTAAGTGTTAGTTTGTTTTAGCTTGGCTCATTGAGATGTATTGATCAATCACAAAATAGTCTGCTCTTACCTTGGACTTCATAAAGTTGTCAAGCCGAGTCGACATGCTGATGTCTTTCGTATAGAGGCACTGACGTTATCAACGAGTTTGGTGATCAGAAGGTATACCTATACTTGTTCCGAAGCAACAAACGTTGTAGGTTGAGAAAATCTAGAGAATAACAAAAATAATGCGGTTGCAACGATAATAAGGAACTTAAATATTAAGTTTCAACAAGTATTCACAATCACAATGAAAGGTGGCCATTTCAAGATTCCTGCCTGTTGCCTCGAGGCCTCGTCTCATCCTCGTCTGCGCCACGTATTCTGACGCCACATCTCGGTGGATCGGCGACCATCTCTCCCGAATCAGTCCAACAAACGACAGTGGTCCGTGCACTCAAGGCCCCGCGAAAAGCAGCGCACAAAATGAATTCTCCAAATTCATTCATATCGAAATCGTCAACCCGTGCCTTTGACAAGTTTCCGTTCAACCCATCCACCTTGAACTACCGCCAAGATGCCTCAAGAGGTCGCCGATATCAAGAAGGTATGGAATGCGAGTATCAGCGGAAGCATTGAAATACTGACTCAATTACCAGTTCATCGAGATCTGCCGTCGGAAGGACGCCTCCTGTACGTTTTGACGAAGAAAAAACCTCCACGAACAAACGCAATTCGATTCTAACAATTAATCCCAACAGCCGCGCGGATCAAGAAGAGCCAGAAGACCAACAACATCAAGTTCAAGGTCCGCTGCCAGAAGCACCTCTACACCTTGGTTCTCAAGGACACCGACAAGGCCGAGAAGCTCAAGCAGAGCCTTCCCCCCAGTATGATCCTCCGCCAGGACGCAACGATGATACAAACCGCTGACACAGCATACAGACCTGCAACTCACCGATGTCTCCAAGAAGGCTAAGAAGTCCGCTTAAGAAGGTGGTTGAATAAAGGGTTTACTCTGGGTGTGGGAGGATTTCACAGGCACGAATGGGCGTCTCGGGATACCTTGCATTTCATCATGTGCTCTGAAAGGAGGATACTCGGATGAGTCCAAAAAAATAAAAAGAACGATTCGAGTCACAAGATGCTGGGTCTTTTGCGTGACGAATGTTGAATTGGCTAATGCAGAAAAGGCTTGTGCTCGAAGCGGGAGACTTTGGTAGCTTCGAACCTCACAGCTATACCGGACTCGATCACGTCTTCGAAGCCTGGGGATGCGATTATCACCAAGATCGAATCGTCGCCCTCTATCCTCCATCCTGCCCACATTCTTTGACCCGGTAGTGTTGCGGATTGGGTCTCGATGGACCGATATTCTTTTTCGAGAGATGATTTTTCCTCGGGCTTCACTGATATCTTCCAGACCTTGATCGATCCTCTAGCAAGAATATCTCCTCGGAATTCATTTTCTCCAGCTGGCGCCGTATGATACAAGGCCACAGCGTCCTTGTCTTGACTGATGAATTCTTTGAGCTCCTGCATTAGAGAGATGTTCTCGTGACTTTGGATCCATTCGTTGTGACCATCCACGGATTCCCATGGTGCTGTGAGAAATAGGTACGGCGCTTCGCCATCGGTGACCCAAACATCGGTGGTGTAATTGTAAGGCTTTCCCTCCAGGAGTTTGGGTTGGTGTTCCCTGATCCAATGGGCTTGTACTTGCTGGGTCTCTTTGAGGATGTTTCGTAGCTTATCCTCATCGTACCCTGGCTTCAGCTTGATGGATGCTGTTTCAATGACACCGACCATTTTATCGGTAAAGACTTGAATTGCTCAATTGATAAAGGCTTAGATGCCTCTACCCTTACGATGAAGCTGAATAAATAATCAGTCAATCAGGCATCTTTGGCGACGTTAATGCGGGGTTCAGTAGATGATGCGCCATTGAGTTGCCTGGGAAGGATCACAGTCAGCAGCGCAGTCGTCAGCCATAGGATTGAAGATTGGCAGTAATCCAAGGAGATTTCCGTGCATTTGATACAGCCGTCGTGTCAACTCTTTGGCCCAAATCCTTCGTAGAGCCTCATACTCTGACAATATCCTGATCAGGGGAGGAATCAAAACTCAGGACCTTAATCCTAAATGACAAAAAGACTTCGGCAACTTAGTACAAGTTCAGGATATCTTTTGCTGAGTTTATTTTGATACCCTGCATCAAGGTCTGATGTTTTCTTGCTCCCCGAGGTATGAAAATGATAACCTCAATCTCAAGACCGTCTTCTCCAGTTTTGTTGTGCCTTCAACCAACCCAGTCATTGTCGAAAGAGACATGCGTGCAGCCTTGACATATGG